TTATAATTCCATTGTAAACCACAAATCGATTATCTAGTAGAAATATGGGGTAATGCAGCCAAAACTAATCTAGCAATACTACAAACTGCCCAAAATAAATTATTGAAAGTTTTGTTTCATTTTGATTATCTTACACCGACATAAGCTTTACAAACAAATTAAAGTAATGAATATATCGCAAACATACAAGTACCGAAATTGTACATTAGTACGAAAAATTTTAAATAAAGATACACACACACAAACAACTTTTTCTAAGAGAATACCACTACACAAAATGAAACTTAGGCGACGCGACGTTATTGAATTATTAACACCACGAATAAATATCGGTAAAAAATGCATAATGTATGAAGATTCACAAATATATAACAATGCACACAGAGACACAAAATCAATGCACACATTTAAAAGACTACTTAAGTATCATCTATCGAAAGAGTTAAGCAAAGACGAGACGAGAAGATGTAAATAAATAAATAAATACTCTCATGTCAAATAACTAGCATAAATAAATACATATCTAGATTAATTCCATCTTCACACTAAAACTACCTAGTTGGTTTAAGTTGTAGCCCATAATTTTACAACCAAATGTTGATCACGAATTGTGCAGATTAAGCTTCTGATATTATATTATTCAACACATGATAGACTATCTCTCAGTATCACCTACATATTATGATCATTTTACATTTTTTTGTTCTGGAGTTTTCTTTTTAATAATAATTTTTAATTTATATATATAACAAACAAGATAAGTATTTTATAAAAATATTGCGTTATTAAACTACTTTGTATTGCTAACAAAAATTTAAATTTATTTATTTTCCTACTCCATCCATCCATCCATTACATTCTAATGGTGCCTTTCCACGCTTGCCAAGCCTTGGCAAACGTCTTCAAGCCCCAAGCGTCCACAAATCTCGTTTGGCGTTTGGAAGTCTTTTTCATGCTTGTGAATGCGTCGGTGTGCTACGTACACCCAAGCATGGCGGACACCGAACGTGTGTCGGCTATTGCGTTTGGTTTAACATACTTTTATTTGAAATACAAGCAAAGTAATACAAAAACAAGGAATTTTTTGGCTTTTAATTCTTTTACTGGCTTTCCCGGTAATTCGGCAAGACGACTCCAAGCATTTGCAACTTTCTAGAGCAAAGAACTAAACATGCGCTCGTCGCGAAATCACAATGGTTACTACGCGCACCAACGTGTGAATGCGTTGCAAGCACTTGCTGCAAGCGCCTTTTTATCTGTGTCCAAAAACCGACACTAGACCTCTTTACACGCTTGTGCTTGTGGATGCTTGCCGAGACTTGGCAAGCGTGTAAACCCGGTATAAAAGTTCATTGCTGTACCTAGGTCTGTACTATAGATTGCCTCATAGGGCATTTTGCCACAGCTACCACGCGTGGCAGGCAGTTTAGCATACGCAGATTTGTATTATTTTGTGTCTACTTCACTTGGTCTTTCTTGATTTTGTTGCCAAAATCCAGAAATCATGGGTGATTGTGAGGTGCTAAGCCGGGGTGGATATAAAATAAAAAATATTTCACGGCAAATAATTTATTTAATATGATAATCTGTAACCACAAGTGCATCGTAAAGTATAATAATATTCAAATCACAGCGATTCTAAAGTAGTTTTTACTTCAAAAGATATTAGCTTAACCGGCCACACGAAGCTTGTGTACCAGCCAGAATAGTAGAAAAAATGTTGGGGGGTGCTACTAGCTCAAAAAGAGAAAACCATCCTGGTTTTAGATAGTAACTTTGTTTATTTTATTTTTATTTTATTTATTCGTAGGACACCAGCAGTGCACACATTATTACATTTAATTGAACGTGAACTTAATCTAGGGACTGATGTGTGCACCCTTATAGGTGACACAGCATTACAAAATACTATAAAAATTAAGACAGGGCAGAGCTACAATAGCTTATAAAGAAATAAGTCACAAAAAAATACTTAAAGATAATGTATAACCAAGACAATAAAAAAACATGCACATAACTAAGCAGCAGCTGTAGGGAACATGGATATTAAATTATAATTAAATTATTCACAAATTATTTATAATAGTGATCTATTACATTTTTCCTATATTTAGGGAAAGTATCATGAAAAATATCGACAATAGGCAACACACCACAGAGTGAATTATAGGTGTCACACATTCGCGGTACCGGGGCGTATGATCCCATGTTAGTCCTGGATTGAGGAGTGTGTAACAGTTTTGTTATTGGACGACGAGGGATATTGTATGGTACATTTAGGGAGAAATATTGTAATAGTTCACAACAGGCAGTCTGTCCGTTTACTATTTTATATAATACCAGCAGGTCGTGAATTTTTCTCCTACTATTCAGGGAAGGTATTTCAAAAAATGCTAATTTTTGTTCGTAGGGACACCTATGTGAAATTCCACTACATATGAAGGCAAGATGTCTTGTAAAAGCTCTCTGAATACTTTCTATTCTTTGGGAGTGCACAGCGTATGTTGGGTTCCATACTGTACTCGCATATTCCAGTTGGCTCCTTACTAGGGTGTTAAAAAGTAAGATTTTAGTGCTTATTTGAAAGCCTCTGGTATTGCGTTTAAGGAAGCCCAGCATCTGCGCAGCTTTCTTTACAATCCTATTAATATGAGGAACGTAGGTGAGTTTCATGTCCAACATAACACCTAGATCTCTTATTTCACCAACTTCTGTGAGCATAGTTCCTTTAAGACTATATGAAGTAGTGCAAGGCTTCTTTTTCTTAGTAAACTTGATATAGAAACATTTTTTGGGATTTAACATCATAAAGTTTTCCTTACACCATTCTTCCAGTCGGTCAAGATCATCTTGAAGAAGTAAAGAGTCAAATTTAGTTGATATCACTCTCGAGAGCTTCAGGTCGTCTGCAAACAAGGAAACGTAGCTTGCCTTTAGTGTACTCGTGACATCATTTATAAAGAGCGAGAACAATATTGGTCCCAGATGGGAACCCTGAGGTACGCCAGATTCTGCGTTGTACGTTTGCGATTCATAACCCCCCACCGCCACCAACTGTGTTCTTTTCTCTAGGTATGAAGTAAGCCAAGCAAGTAATGACCCGTGAATTCCTGTGGCTTCAAGTTTGCTCAGTAACAGGGCATGGTTTACCTTATCAAAGGCGCTGGAAAAATCAGTGTAAATGACGTCCACTTGGCATCCTTTGTCAACCTCGCGCGAAATGTGTGAAATAAATGAGATAAGGTTCGTTTCGGTAGAACGGCCCTTTCGAAAACCGTGCTGAAAATCACTTATATTGGCTTCAATGTGATGAGTTAGGAATGGACATACAGTCGCCTCAAACAATTTTGAAAAAGTAGATAATATAGAGATGGGTCTGTAATTTGTTACTGACGATACATCACCCTTTTTATGTATTGGTATGACCCGAGCATTTTTCCATATTGTAGGGAATTTGCCTACTAATAAAGAATAATTAAAAATTAAAAATAACGGATAAGCAAGATATGCAACACAATTCTTAATAAAAACTGGAGGAATGCCATCTGGTCCCGCACCCTTGTAAATATCGAGGTTTTTTATATGTTTTATAATGACCTCTCTAGAAACAAAGAGATGACTAAGAGCTCCGATGGTGTTTTGCTCAGTAAATGTCAAGAGTTTAGGAGTTATAGGTGTATTTATATAGACTGAGGAAAAGTGTCTTGCGAACAGGCTAGCAATTTCAGGCCCGGTCATTGCGCTATCATCCTCAAGAAACATCTGGGCAGGTATTTCAGAGTTTCTCTTTCGCTTATCTTTTAAATATCGCCAAAATGCTTTTGGGTTTTCACGGATATTGTATTCCAAATTAGCTCTATATTCCTTGTGACATTTGTGCAATAGTTTATGACAGCGATTACGAACTATATCATACTCTAGCTTATCTCTGGAGTTCTTATATTTATAGTATCTCCGCCTTAGTTTGTTTTGCTCAGATCTCAGCTTTATTAACATCGGAGTGGACCACGAAGGGTGACGAGACTTATGTAGTTTGCGTTTTGGAACACATTCTTGAATAACGTTATACAATTTGTGGTAAAAAATTTGAACCTTTTCGTCGACGTCAACAAATTTAGAAAACGTTTCATCCCAGTCGATTAAGCTTAAATTGGAGTTAATTTTTTGGTAATTAGCTTTAAAGTAGTTGAAATCAATGTGAGTTTTAGTTTGTAAATAATTTAAGTTAGTATGGGGTAAACTTAATAATAAATTAGGGTGTTGCGGGTCTAGTTTGCTAATGAGATCCAGGGGTTTGCTAACGCGAGCATTCTTAATTGTACTTAACGCTAAATCCAATATTCTATTATCACAGTTACTTAAATTATTAAACTGAAATAAGCTATTAGCACAAATAAAATCTATTAAAGCGCATCCTAAGCTATTATTTATATAGTTATTAGGCTTCATAAAATTACAATCTTTTTGACTGGACCAGGAAATATGACCTAGGTTGAAATCACCCAATATTATGACATCATCTACACAATTAAAAATATTACTACTATTGTCTAAAAATTTTGAAAGTAAATCTAAAGTGACTGGAGGAGGAAGGTAGACAGCACCCAAAGCAATTTTAAAAATAGTGTTCTTAGTTTTAATATTAAGGATGACCCACAGATCTTCGCAGTCAGATTCCCAGCTTGGAACTCGAATGGACTGAATGTCATTGGATACTGCGATCATTACCCCTCCGCCATCGGACTTATGACTAGAAGTAGAGCACCGATCTCTACGATAAACACAATATTTATTATCTATGAATTCACTATTATTCACACCTGTATTTAGCCAGGTTTCTGTGAAAACAAGGATTTTATAATTTGTTTGTAGGATATTTACCAAAACATCGTTAGTTTTGGTTCTAAGACCTCTTAAATTTTGATAATATATGTCCATAAAAATATTTGTCTAGGTCGCTTATACGTTGAAAACAAGAAGATATAATACAAAAAAAAAACCTACTTCACGTTGTTTAGACAGTCCATATTCCGAATAAGTAAGACCTGGCTAAAATCATCCTTTCGCATGTATATACGCCCGTTGCGTACCCAAACATACTTGTATCCTAATTCTCTTTTCTTCTTACGTGCGGCGGCATGCAGGGATTTATTGCTGGGTGAAAGATGTTCTGCAACAAATACGGGAGTGCTTGGTCCTTCAAAGCCTAAGTGTGAAGTGCTGAGCTTGTTGGTTGGGTTCCTTTTGTTGTAAGTAGCGACTGCGGCCAACAATGCGTCACGCTGGCGCAGGCTGCGCAGCTTTACTGCTACTGTGCGGGCTCGATCAGTTTTTGGGTTGAGCTTTGCGACCCTTGTCACATGCAGTATGTCTTCTACCAACAGTTCATGGTCAGCAGACTTAGCTACTTGTGTTATAATATTTACCAAATTTTCAGATTTTCTTTCGGGGATTCCATTTATTTCCACATTACTCTCGCGTAATACTTGTTCAAGAGTCCCCATCCTGTTTGAAAGATCGCTTACTGTGTACTGTAAGCTAGCATTTTCTGTTAGGAGATTCTTAATCGTTGCCGTTTTTTCCTCCATCTCTTTCTTTATGTTTTCGAAACAACTATTAAAGAAGTTCAACGAATCATTAAAATTAGAGATCTCTTGTTTGATGCTTGAGAACTCCTCTGAAACCAAGTCTCTTATCGTGGTTTTAAGCACATGGGAGATCTCTTGTCTCAAAATTTCACGCAAACGATTTTCAGTGACATAAGCCGCAGAACTGCCTATTGCTTCAGCTTCCACTGTATTTTCATGAGATATATCAGGCGACGGTGAACGGTTTGATTTGGTAGCAACCACCTTCGTGCGGCGTGTTATATTTTCGTAAGATGCGGGCGACGCCGCGAGCTCGTCAGTTATGTACGTGATCGGGGTCACCGTGGCCCCGCTAGCAGTGACTCCGCCTGAGCTGCCGCTCCGCACAGGTGTATTGGTGTTATCCCTAGTTCGTGGCTTCCTGCATACACAAACCGGGCATGTCCAATTGGCCTTCCATTCCTTTGTGAGCATGCTGAATTTTTCATCATCTATATTCACACATACAGTGTGATAATTATCTTTGCACTGACCGCATTGCATGGACGCAATATTTTTCTCCAAGATGCGACAACATCCAGCGCATTTCTTTTTAGGAGACATTGCAATAATTTTGTTATCATACACGGACGGGTAAATAAACAAAAACACCCGGTTAGCAAGCGGTCCGTTGATAGTGCACAATGCTTTGGCCACAAAAGATTGCGAGAAGAAGGTCTTAAGCGCCGGGCAGATCGTGGCGCTTACGCGTTGCGTTGAATCACTGCGTCCAAACACTTGTGATAGAATATTTTTTTAAATAATAACTCAATAACCTTCACTGTTTGTGTTATAATACACAAAATAACTTAGTCAGTGCAAATTAATATTGACTACACAATAGCATATAGCAAATTAAATTAAATTGTACAGTTTATATCACTCTCAAATCTTTTAAAGCTATTTTATCTAATTTTCTAGTTAAGAACGAAACGTAACACTGCTTGCTTGTCTTGTACTTTTTTACTTGTTTACGCCCGAACGCTGGTTTCGGATTCGACGTCAGAGGGCGCTCGGCTCGGCGCTATACCGGTTTGACGTTCGATCGTGCGTAGAACGCGCGGCGTAAAATACGAGTCGTCTGCCAGCTGTGCTAACGTCAGCACGCTGTCAATTTTTGTGCGGGAACCGCGGAATAGTTTAGGCGTCTAGTAAATATCCTGTCTAGGATTTGTAACGCGCATTCCTTGTTGGATAGCCTTTCCCGGGACTTATTGGGTCCGACTCAGAATCTGTATAAGTGCATTCGACAATATTGGCTAGTGCTGCCTTGATATTCTAGAAATAACTGTTGCTACGCGAAACGGTAGTGACCTTTGATCCGGACACTCTGTGTTCGTTTTCGTGTGTTAAGCTTTATAACAAACGAGAGTTAGTGGCTTCTGTAAGTTAGTTAATCGTACGATAGAGTTAATGGACTGTCATCGTGACGAACGAAGAAAGTGACTGTGGACGGCGCCGCGGAAGATTACCTCAATTTGGAGCGGTGCTGACGTCCGGGCTGCTGCCGACGGCAAAGGTCTAATAAGGTCAATTACCCCCAGTCACACCCAGATACACATCACAGCACCTTATTTTCCTTGCACCACACAACCACATGCGACCTGACCGAATCCTGAAGGACCAGTCGCCTTGGATATAGGTAAGTAAGCTCTGTTAATATTCCCCCTGTTGAATGGCAGTACGCTCCCCCTTATTGTTTATTGTGATAGGAAATTCCACTTTGGCCTTAGGAGAGGACAAGACCTCAGCGTATGTCAGTAAGAGATAGCGATAGTTCGCCAAAGTACATTACTACAATTACATGTAATTTCAATTGACATACTTAGACTTTTACCACCATTGTGTGGGTAATCTAGTTCTTTTTATTTCGGTTGTACTACGTCAACTACTAATTTACTGTGCGCGTACTGAATGACTCCGGGATGAACATTAAGCGCGAAGAGAAATGAGTTGTAGTGATCATTTTATTACAATTTATCTAAGATATCCTCTCAGAAGCCAATTTACATAATTTAGGACCGGGTTTAGTAAGCTCGTGGGGCTTTCGAATGTTTCATTCTATATTTATAGCTCATCACGTAAATAGTACAATTAAATAAATCATAATCAACTCATAGCCCCGAATGCATTCAGTTCGCGCATGTATGATTTTATAGATACAATAAAACAACCATATTGATTAAGTATAGTTTAATTAAATTAAATTGTCAAAAGTATACATAGTAAAATTGTACTTGGACTAAAGGGTAAACTAATCATTCCTTTGATCTATGTATTGCATAAAAGTTTCTTCCTCCTATTATCGATAATAACGTCTTCTTTTCCAATTTCTTAATTAACTTCTTTTTACGTGGAGTTATCTCAACTTCCGGAACTGCTATAGGTATATCTTGTGTCTGAAATATAATAAAGGATATAACTGTATTTATAACAAACTAGCTGTTGCCTACGGCTTCGTTCGTTTTTTTTAAAAGCCTATAGCACTCAGGCATATTGTAGCTTCCTATTAGTGAAAGAATTATTGATTGAATGGGGATAAGTAGTTTCAGATATTAGCTTGAACGCGCTACAAGCAAAGTCTTCAGCTTTATAATGTTAATATAGTATAAATATTTGTATTATATGCAGCGATGCAGCGATGGAGCGAATTTTATAGAGAAATGTATGCGTGTGATGATCTTAGTGAGGGATCCGGGGATGACGCCGTGACTGGCACGCCAGACCCGGACCTCGATGACACTGAGGTCATCAGTATGAAAGAGATTGAACGTGCGATTCGAAGTTTGAAATGTGGTAAGGCTGCGGGACTAGACAGAGTTACTGCTGAAATGGTCAAGTATGGTGGGCCTCGCGTCTGGGACAGCTTTCATCTGCTGTGCAATTTGTGCTGGCGGACGGGGGATGTCCCGGATGATTGGCGATCCGCAGTCATTGTGCCTTTATATAAAGGTAAAGGTTCACATTTTGACTGCGGGTGCTATCGGGCGATCAGCTTGACCAGTTTAGCAAGTAAAGTTTACTCGAAGATTTTGACACGTAGGATGCAAGAGAAATCGGAAAGATTTCTATGGGAGGCACAATGCGGATTTAGACCTGGAAGAGGATGCACAGATCAAATGTTTTCTCTCCGTATGATCACGGAAAAGCTTCTGGCTGTTAACCAGAAGATTTTCTGCGCTTTTGTGGATCTTGAGAAAGCATTTGATAAGGTTGTAAGGAAGAAAATGTGGGAACTGTTGCCGGGGTATGGTGTGGATGGCCGATTGCTAAGGGCTGTGCAGTCTCTTTACTGTGACTGTAAAGCCTGTGTGCGGGTAGGGCATGACCTGTCACCCATGTTTAGCGTCCAAACGGGCGTAAAACAGGGTTGTGTCATGTCTTCCTGGCTGTTCATACTGTATCTCGACAGCTGTTTACAAAAGCTGAAAGATAGCTGTTTGGGTGTGAAATTGGGTGACATAAAAGTAAATTGTCTGCTGTATGCTGATGATGCAGTGCTTATTGCACCATCAGAGGCAGAACTGCAGGCATTAGTCACGTGTATGAAAGAGGAATGTGAAATTAAAGGTCTCCGTTTGAATGCTAATAAAACTAAGGTTCTGGTATTTGAAAGGGACGAAGAGAGAACGAAGTGTGAAATATGGGTAAATCAGGAATGTCTAGAACAGGTAAATGAAATTGTATACTTGGGGAGTGCTTTTAGCCGGGATGGAAGATGTGATTTAGATGTGGACAGGCGTGTCGCTGCCGGGAACAAAGTCAATGGTGCCCTGACTGCGTTAGTCAAAAGGCAAGGCGTAGCGAAGAGTGCACGCCTTGCAATACATAACGCAGTGTTGGTACCGACTTTGTTATATGGCAGCGAAACCTGGGTATGCCAGAAGAAGCATAAAAGTAAGTTGAATGCAGTGGAGATGCGATCTCTTCGTAAAATGTGCGGCGTTACTATGGCCGACCGAAAGCGAAACGAAGAGATTCGCAATATGGCAGGTTTGAAAGATGACCTTATCACAAAAATTGATAAGGGCGTGCTTCGGTGGTTTGGGCACGTTGAGCGAATGAGTGAAGACCGAATGGTGAAGAAAATATATAGCGCGAAAGTTAATATTAAAAGGTGTCGAGGTAGACCGAGACTAACTTTCGAAGACCATGTGAGCAAATTGCTCGAAGAGGGTAGGGTCAAGAGTACTCGGATACCTAGACGTGCATGTATGAAGAAGATAATGAATCTGAAAGAAGCGAAAGAGATATGTAAGGATCGTGACACTTGGCGATCTGTTCTCTCTGGCTACCCCGTCAGGGATTGTGCGTGAAGATAAGTAAGTAAGTAAGTAAGTATGTATGTATAAAGATATTTATTATTTTTATTATTTACGGTAAGTAGTAAATACTTACCGTAAATAATAAATACATATAAAAATATCTATACTGCTTTAAAGATAAAAATGTTTAAGTATGTATATAAACGGCTACACACACATCTACAAGAATCAATTTCCATAAAATAGACTGATCAAGAATAAAGTTACCATAGTACTTTCTATTTCAATTTCCATAGCAACTTCTTCTGACGGTAAAGATAGGTTAGTAGGACCATGAATATCTATCATGTTCATGGATGAATCGTCAAGCTGAAAAATATGATAATTATTTTAAATTAACATTTATCACCCAAATAAATAAGTAGGTACATGTTATAATATAAAATAATATTATAAAAAAAATTTCATCATGAAGAGTTCCTCTTTCCACATGAAGTTGGTCAACCCCTTGGATTCCGTTGCCCTATTCCGAATTTCCCTACTTTCAGCTCACCGATATCTTTTGTGCCTAGTTTTGCGTTAGTCTCCCATTTACACGGTATATCTGATAGTGTTAAAAGAAGAAGTGTCTGCGGGATATATTAGTATCTCTGAGTTTCGGAGGAATGCGCTAGAGATATCCTCATACCTACATCTTCTCCATCTCCTTAGGATGTGGCGAGGTTGGTGCGTAAACCTGTATGACCTTCAACTTCAACGAATACAGTATTTTTTATTCTGAGTGTAAGGTACACATCACAACCATGTCGAAACCCTCCTAATCTTTACAAAGTCGTTAAAGAGACTTGTGGACACCTCTTTGGGACAGATGGTCACAAAATGTTGCCGATTTCGAGAATTACCGTATCCTTCCCCTCTTGGACCTCAGATAATCCTATAATAATATTCCAGCGCAACTTGTCTATATCTTCTTCCAGCTCCAGGATCTCCTCGTCAGTCTTCAGGGTACGTGCGTTATATGTTGCCAGGTGGAGTCGTCTTAGTTGGCAACCAAACCTCCACCGGAGATCCTTAGCACCCACTGCCCTGCCGTTGCCATGGTTGCCACCGTAACCAGGAATAGCGGGCCGGAGATTGAGGACAGTCTCTTTGTATTACTGTTCATGGGGGATGGTTAGATGGGATCATAGTGGACACGCTTGGCAAGCGGGTGAGTAACCGTAGTTTTTATTATAGTTTAGCCGTTATCAGAGGGGTGCTGCTGCCCATCTCCTGTGTCAGTTTCCCTCTGTTGGTTCT